ATCGTACTACAGACAGAAACAAGCAAGTGGAAACCAGTTACTATCAAGCTGCCATACTACATCTTTCGCCACTGCCTCCTCTTCATCAGCTTCTCCCACACTCCAGCACCTGGAAAGAAGCATTCGCTTTAGCAGAAATTTTTTTCCTACTTTTGCATGATTTTTTTTAAAGAAAACTCAAAAACTCAAGGCATTAGGTGGTGCAAAAATAGGAAAAATGTCTACTGAAAAGTTCAAAAAACATTTTGGACCTTTTTTTTTTTTGTTGCTTTTTAGGGTCAGGGTTTTGATTGTTGGAAAATTTCTGCGGTCCTGAAATCTGTGTCTCCCACGTGGAGAACAGATGTTCCAGCCACCTGTAGGGCAATGGCTAAAATCTCAAGGAATCATTCTCCAGCCCTGATTAAAAGGAAGCCAAATACTGAGATTTAACAAAATCTGAATAAGGGGTTATGTGTGTGCATGTCCCAGGGACCTTTAAATTTTTGAAAAAGTCTTATTAACACTCTTCAGTACATTCTTGTTTCCACTCAGGTCTTTTCAAACTAAGATCTCTCATTTCCTACTTGATCACCCAAAATCAAGGAACTGCCAGCCTAAGGCCTATGGGTAACACAAACACATACAAGAAAAGCAAGTAGTGACCTGCCCTCGAGCTTTGGCAGAGCACTGTGCAGGCCATAAATCACACGGTGGATTTGACCTTTTTCCTATCTTCTGCAGCTGAATACCTTTATCCTACCTCAAGATACACTAAGGATCGCTGGCAGCGAGACAGAGGGGATGCTTCTTTTATTTAGCTGTGTTTTCTAAATGGGAACAGATGTTCAGGGAAGGAAGACAACAAATATACTCCAGCAGTGAATCACACCAAACGTGATCCTAGCAAGGTGCAGGAACTGATCATCATCTAACGAGGCACATTTTAGAAAAAATCCAAGGTCAGAAAGCACTCCTTATCTGTAACAGGATACTAGGCTCATCTCTCTGCGCAGGAGAAAAGACCCCTGGCCCGGTAGGGAAGTGCACAGAAAACTCTATTTATCCCCAGGGCAGCTTTCCTGGTACTGCATTTGAACAAAGGAATTATCACTGAACAAAAGCACCACTTGGCCTACAGAGCCCCAGATCCAAAGTCTACAAACCCAGAACCTTTTCAGCCTCTAATGCCTGCAAAGATGGAAAGCAGTTTCTGCGAGCTGGCCAGTTCCCTGCCTGCGGGAGCATCGCTCTGTCCTACACTGGTCCCCTGGCTCAGACCAGGAGTCCAGCCAGTCCAGCCTCTCATCTCCAGTACGGGCCATAAAATGGGAACACTGGCAGAGCTGCCACAGGGAGACATCCTGGGAAAGGGAAGGATGGGGCCAGCACACATAGCGGGTGATGTTTTGCTCAGCGGTCTCCCAGCTATTGAGGCTTTTCAGCTCTGGAAGCTTCCCGAGCCTCGCACGGTTTGCATACTCGGCCCCTCTCAACACATCCCTCTTCACAAGTGTTTGTTCAGTCTCTCCTCAGAGCCACAGAAACGGCGGGCATCCACGGTTTCCTTCGCAGAGGGCTCACACAGACTGCACCGAAGGGGAACCGTCCTCCTGTGCGCCACACCAAGTGAAGAAGATCAATCCCTCATCGGTTCTGAACTCTCTTTGAGTTTCACTCTTCTCTACCTCACCCTCGAGCCTCACCATGAAGAGCAACGATCATGTGTAGTCACAGCCCTGCCTTCCCCACAGGGAGTCGGACAGCAATGAAAGCAGAAGGGCCTCAGCTTCTTTACCAAAAACTTTTCTGCAGACCTAGAGACATTCGTCTTTTCCCCGCAAGAGTCGTAGCTCGGGATCTCTCTGCACTGCATGTTTAAAGAAATCACAGATTTTTAAAGTGTGCATTGGTGGGCAACACATAAACCACTCATTCCTAAAAATATTATCTAATGACTCTTTAATATTCTGGACTATCCACGAGAAAAATACTTCTTATAATTTCACATTAGAGGAAATGCTAGGCCTCCCCAAAGCTATTTTAGCCCCTGCATACTAACTAGATACATTTGGGCTATAAATACACTGCAGTGCAGGACAAAGAAAAACAATTTAACCCTTATCTTGCACAGAATTCAATACTTGGAGGAACTGGAGGAGTAACAAAAAAGCAGAAAGCAGCAGGGCTGTTAGTCACTGGTTTATGACCAGGTGAAAAGTTACATGTGACATGCAGCATCCAGTTCTGGAGTTGGAAAGAAATTTCCATTTATGTACAACAGTTCCTACTACTGGGACAAATTCGGAAGAAGTGGTAAAAATTCTGAGGCTTTAATTCATAACGAACTCCAGCAATCAGATAGCCTAGCTGTCAGGAATCAGAAAAGCAGGTGGAAGAACAAAAGACCCAGAGTTGCTGTCAGGCTCCCAGCAGTTTCCAGCAGAAGTTGGTTACAACCCTCAGTCATCTGCACAGCTCTTCACAAACACACAGCCGAACAGGCACAACGCTTGCTGGCAAATTCTTAGAAAGCTTTAGGAGCCTAAATGTAATTGTAGAGGGAATAAAGCACAAAGGATTTTCAAAATCCACCAGCTCCCCCATATGCTTTTAAGACAGATAGTTCTCAGCTTTGCAAGAACGGCAAGCAGTTCTCAACTCTTGCTTATTACAACCAAAATTAAGCAAAAAAACAACCACCCCACCCTTATCTCCCAGGGAAGTCCAGGATGACTACGTCAGTCATAACCCAACACACGTGAAAAATGGATCCATTTCCATTCAGCTGTGAAACCCAAGTTCATATATATATAAATGTTATTCAAAATGCTTCTAACAGAGGCATGGAAATGAAAAATCAAGTAGTGATACACAATTCTCTTGTAAAAATTTCTCCACATTTCTCTCAAGAATAAGCATGTATTCATATTTTGTAGACAAAGCAAAACAATCATTAGAACATTTCCATTCAAAAGGAAATAGATAAATAACCATTTATTTGACTGCATTGTATTTAGACAGCTTGTACATTTCATAACCCCACTGTTTTTGTTCTCATCAAAAAGGGTAAAGGGACAGAAGAATATAATCCACTCAAAACAGCAGTCCAGTATTTTGAGATACACTTGATAATTTCATAGATGCCCACCTGATACCTGAACTCCAATACAGGTTGTAATGCTTATACAAGACCTGAAAATCTATTAACATAGCACTCAGTTTTAGCAATGTCTTGCAGTGCCCTGAAAAATGGTTTGTGACGTACTACGCAACGCCAATTAGATTACGCCTACTTTTCTTGAAGGTGACGAACCTGATCGTTTCTTAAGAAAAACCACAGAATGCAAACATCCATGCTGACATGTCAGCCAGTACCAACATCTGGGCAAATTTAAACATGAACGTGATCATCAACTCCTTCGTTAGATTTGTCAATGCAAAAGGTGAGGGGGAGAGGACTGTGTTTTAGCAACAGACAGGAGACGCGACCGACTTCTCACTGCTAGATTTCTTTTGAAAACTTCTTTTTTCATCTCTTTTCAGATTCGGAACTTCCCACTCGATACCCGAATCCCAAGCAACACAGAGAACAGATCTCGTTTCTTTTCACACGAACCAAGTCATACAGCTTCAGTATCTTCCGCAGTGAACTGTGTGTTACACAGCAGCAGTACCAGAACCTTTCAGGCAAGGTGCTCTTTTAAAAGAAACGCGCACCTATTTTGCGCAGCATTTTCAGAACGTGCATGGCGACGGTGACTTCTTACGATCAACAAACAGAATTGTAGTTGAAGCTCAGAAGACATGGTTTTGGCAGTGCCTTCGTGAAAAGTGATTTCGGCTAATTTCTAAGTCGGCTTTTGAATCTGAAGACACCCACGGCTTAAATATTAACCAACAGAAAACTTGCCTGTCTGGCTTTTCAGTTTTTAAACATCAGCAGACACACGAGATAGCCTAGTTTGTGATTCAAGTCCAACAGCGGTTAGCGAGGTACGAACCCTCCCTGATCCTCTCCTTAGCTCAAGCAAGCCAGAGCAGTCACTGTGTCCTGGACCACTGGAACATGGCTGAGAGAACTCCGTTCCGACTGGTTTAACATTACCAATATTTAAGTCTTAACTACGAATGAAACCTCCTGAAAAGCCACACAGAACAACTGGCAAACCTGAAGGATCGGCAGAATGGGAACAAAAGGTTTTAGCGTGTCCCAAGGCAGCAGTGGCAACACGCACAGGCTTCGCACTGAACTCCAGCATGTTCTGTAACAGGCTCGGGCACCATTTTAAATACAAGTTTTCTTTACTGAGGGGAACAAACCCCCTAAAAAGCACAAATGGCATCTACAAGCAGAAAACTCCGAAGGGCCAATTTCCTTTGGAAGTCTTTATTTTCAAATACAACTCATAATTTCTACGTGGTAAGAAATGTCCGTCACCATGTGCGCTCGGTCTGTGCAAAATAAGGCTTTCCTTTAAATCCAGTTTTCCTGCACAGGGCTCTTTTCCAAATGTTACTGGAGGTAGGGGTTTTGTTGGTTTTGTTTTTAAGTGTACAGTAATTAGCAAAAAAAACCCATGACTCAAACCAAACCCTAAAAAAAGAAAAAAAGTGTAGTAAGGCAAATCTGAAGAGTACGCTCAACTACAGAAGAGCGGATTCACTGAGAATTCGTCCTTTTCACAGATTACACAGGTGCTTCCACAAGTCAACTAATACTTTTTTTCCCAAAGTGAAAAAAACCCAACTGATTCATAGACCTGGGCTGTATAATCACACTGAACAAGAAAGCCTAGACACTGTAATCACTGAAAAAAATTGATGCGTGTTCGTAAAACCTATGTTAGCCCAATTAAAGAAAGGAAAAAAAAATAGAGAAAAACAGAGTAAGAGTGAATGCAAGAGAGAGAGAAGTCCTTCCCCGCTGCTTTGATTTTAGAGGGAAAAAAAATCCCCCAATAATTTAGCTCATGTAAATTTAGAGGAAATGAGAGCAGCTAAAAATGCATACAATGCACCTTGAAATTTATTTCCAAGATCAAGAACCAAAGATTGAAGCGTTTTAGAACACTGAAGCAAAGCAATCTGAATCTGAAAAAAAATTGTTCCACCTATCTTAAAATAGCTGTTTTTCAGAGCTTCTAGCAATAATTTTGATTAAATAAAATCATACCAATTTACATTAATTTTCTATATCTTCTTTTAAAAGTCCCTCACTCTTTTAACGAAAAAAGTGCATCCAAAACCAGCAGAGATTTACTGGTGACGTCAGGTTCTCTTTTAGCAGCTACTGAAGGTTTTCAAAATAGCTTACACTTCTTGCTATAAGAAAAGAAGGGCCTTCCAAACCCTCGTTTGGGAGAAGTATCCAAATTATAAAAATCTGAAATAATTTATTATCAAATCCAGAATTTAAATAAAAGCAGAAATTTTCTGGCAAAGACAATTGAAGAAAGTAAAAGAATAAAAGCATGCACTCCAAACTTAGAGGTGAAGACAAATATACTTATCTATACAGGCACTGGCAGACGCAATTTAATTGTTACTGTTACTCATTGTAACACACACCCCACCCTACAATACATTTTTTCATTCACTAATCACTGAGGTACCAATATTTAAGAATGGAAAATTCAATATTGAAAAATAAAACCTAAAATTGAAGCCTTTTTCCAGAAAACTATGGCAATTTTTGTATGAAATGTTAGTATACTTATAGAATTTTACAATCTACATTGGCTTTTTTCTGGAACCAAAAGTCACGTTCCACATACAGGTTCTTTGATAAAATGTTCACTGTGTATGTAATACAGTCAGTAGACTTGCAAATGAATGAACATATCTTGGCTATCAACTGGCACATCTTGCTGGTACCAAAAGAACTCGAAGTTTGAAATAATCGGTCTTAATTCTGAACAAATGCGCCATGCCAAAGTGCAACAAATATGTGCGACACTCAATGAGACACTGACAGATTAAGAGCTGCATGGAAATTACCAAGTCCACCTGCAAAGCAATTTTGTACAAATTGCATTGCATGCAAAGGACAACTCTGCGCTGTTGGGACGTCAGTTGCTTGATGTGATGGTTTCTTTTAACGCAGCCATAGTTTAAGACGCAGTGCATCAACTCCATTTAAATAGTATCTGAACAGCCTCTTGTCTCGCACAAAACCAAGGTTTTCATAAAGTTTCAAAGCAGACTTATTTGTGATTTCTGTTTCCAACACAACCTTTAAGGAAAAAAAAAGAGAAAAGCATATCATATTAGAAAGCAGTTGCCATCACATGACTACTGAGCCAATTTCAAAGTATTTAAAGGTACACTTTAGCAATGACTGGAATTAATTTTTTCTTGTCCTGACTTCTTCAAACAACCCCTCTCTATTCCCAGATTTCAAAATGAATAGCAGTTAATCAACAACTGTAATTGTAAACAATTTTCATTCAAATCAAGATTTTAGTTCTTTGCTGAAAATACTATTTCAACTGAGTACCTAAGAGCTAGGGTACAAAAACCCAACCAAACAAACCCCAAACAACCCCCACCTCCCAACATCTCCCCCCAGACCAACCTCCCAAACAGGTTAGAGTCCAAAACATACTTTGAATTTTGAATGAGAAACTGAACTTTTGCATGTCACAAGAACTTGGCACATGAGGTTTTGTTTAGTCATTTTAGCATCTCTGACCTCTAATTGGATTGATTTAGACCTAGACACAAGCTTTGCCATTCCACAACTAGCTGTTGGACCCAATGGTGGCAATTAATTTTTGTGCTCAACGCAAGTATCCCAAACTCAAACCAGAGTGCACACCAGGAAGAAAGAGCAGCTTTCTCCATCTTTCCCCCCCCGTGTTGGTAACATCGCAGCTGCAGGCAGACCTGTCATAAATACCTCAGCCCAAACCCCAGTGTGAGAGTAATCCAAATTAAGCAAAGGCTCCAAATTATCCTAGAAGTTTCAAGCACAGGAAAAAAACTACACTGGCATTAACAAGAAGTTAAATGCAAAACCGCTGAAGTATGTCCCCCTGAATTTCCCTGCTTTTCCCCAAAAAGCACTGAGCAGAGCTCCAGCATACCTGGCAAGCCATGCACCCACTCCAAATGATAAAAACTTGTTTTGCCTCTTTACTGTTGTCCAACTCGATTATTTAAGGATTCTGCTATGAAGGACAGATCATGGTTGCACCAGAACTCGGGCTGAACTAATAAGCTGACTAGACTACACACAGTCCCATGACAATGTACATTCACGTATTAATCAAGAGCTGATGGACCCTGCAGAAAGACGACAGAAGGAAAACACAGCCTGAGCAATCTCTGCAGCAAACCAGTGACCACTGCTGGTGTTTAGTCCACTAATGGCTATCTCTAAACCAGCATTTGATGCCCACTCTGCATAGTCAGAACTAGATACATAAAACTCCCTCAGTCCAAAAAAAAAAGTCATCTACCCCACCTCAAAACCCAGGACTTCCTTCTCCTCCAATAAAATGCAAGAAAAACTGGCTAACCTCCCCCTCCCACAAAAAAATAAAACCTGGAACAAAATATTAAATTGCTCTACAAATACAGGCGAAGTCACTCTATTCTACTGGCTTTGTGGCCCCCCTGCCTTCAGGCTTGCATTTCCATTGCCCCTCACCTCTTCCGCCAGCCCACTCAGCTTCTTGCTGAGCTACTTCAAACAGCACCCCGGCAGAAAGCCTTTCCTTTTCCTCTCCCTCAGGTTTGTTTTCTGCAGTCTGAGGAGTGGCTAAGCCAACGTAAAATAGGGAGGCAGCCAGCGGTTACACTGTTCACCCTCGGTAAGGTTTGAAGATCCATTTAATGTATACATTCGACCATTACTCAAGTTTCAAGCCACTCTGACCACATTCCAATGGATAATTCGCCCTGCGCTTCTCAACATAAGAATGTTTGAAACAATAGTAAATCTGGAGCTACCAGCCCAAGGAACAACATACACCAGGGGAACCAGAAGTAGTTCATTTTCCAAAAAGGAACGGATTCACATATTAAAATACTAATAGTCAGAGTTCTTAAATTACAGCGGGACAATCTGTTGCACCTGCACTCTTGAGACGAGCTAACTCAATTCTTAACTTATGGCAAGAATTAGAGATTTAATTTCTCTTGCTATTTATTTCTATTTTATCTATGGATATCTATTTATAACAAATTATGGAAGCACCACAGTTTTCCTGAAGAGTGCTGTTTTCTACACAATCACGCGCATTGTACAAATTCTTCATGCAAATTAAAACAAAGCATTACACCAAAGAGGAAATCCGACCCACGTAAATCCATAGTGCAGGAGACTTCTTTCAACTCTAGCTACAAATGGCATTCACTCTCATAAAAGTTTAGTAACCTGGCAGAGTGATACACCACATCTGTATTCACCTGCAAGCTCGCACACCTTGCAATGCTAGAAGACCTCCAACACTACAGATCATTGAATTTCAGGGAGTGGTTAAATGTTGAAATTCAGGTTTGTTGGAATCCCACTACCTGCGTGAATGCTCATCTTGAAAGTAAACGCAAGAGATTTGCTCTGGTATTTCTAAGGAAGACTCAGCGCAATGAAAAATAATTCCCTGATCTCAACACGTTGCATTGAGCTCAATGAGCTAAAGACACATTTCTATTACCTTAAAAGGAAATAGTCATATTTTACCCAAATTTCATTAGCTTCATTTTGTGAAGAATTCCTCTCTTCCTGTGTGAGATTTTCAATCAACCTCCAAACCTTCAATCATTAAACTTATTTCTGGTCTCATAGGGTCTATTTTGTTGTACACACATGCCTGTTAAACCCTCTAATAACACAATCACATTCTCCCCTGGAGACCAACAAAGGTCTGACTGTATTTAACAGCATTTTCTGCACAAGTTGCAACTTTCTGAATGCTGCTACTTTCTGTCTTAAATTTCATAAATCTAACATTTTATTTCACGTGTCTAATTGTAATGGGGTTTAGAAATCTTCTATAGTAAGAATGGAGTGCCATATTTCTTGTTATTACATTTTCATACCTAGAATTTATTCCTAAACTGAAGAAAAATGGAGACGTCAGGCTTTCTTGCTTCTTCAGTTCAAGCTCTGAATGAACTCAAGCTTAGAAATCAAATCACAGAATGAATACAGCCAAATCAAAGAAGCAAATGAAGAAAACACTCTCAGCACTCACAGAAGAGGTTGCTATTCTTACTTGTAAGGCTGGCATATCACCAGACTCAGGTTATGGGTGCTTGTCCAGTGTCCTTAATCCGTTTAACTGCCTTAACTTTTAAAGAAAGGTAGCACCTAAAATACAGCACTTAACACCTTACGTGATTTGCAGATTAAGAAAAATCTAAGATGTCAATAGTTTAATAATTTCAAATAGGATTACATAAAAATACACATTTTTACAGGTGTGGTACTGAACTAAAATGACACACCTACTGGTGTGGTGAAAAAACCCACTTTAAATCACCCTAAAGTTTCAATGGAAATTGGTATGAAAAGTTGCAACACCTTTTCATATTCTACATTTTGCTTTAAAAAAAGCTCTTAAGTCCCACTTACTAGAGTCTTATTTTGCTTAGTTACCATTTACATGGGACGTTATTTCAGTAATACGAAGTGAATGATTCATATGCAGATTACTTACAGTCATTTGTTACAGATGGAAAACCCAAATATGAATGAACAACTCCTGCTTTCTGTGATTAAGGGATGTAGCACTTCCACATGAAGGTCTTCAGCAGTACAATTTTTTAAAATTGCTTGTCAGTAAAAACTAAGCAAACGTACAAAAAGCAGCCAGATGCCCAACTTGGTGAAGTTAACACATACTTTCCTTTTTATACTGGAAGAATAAACTTTGGAGATGGGAGAAAAACTATTCACCTTCACCTGATTTATTTCCATAGTTCTCACTTTCTATGTAACTAGCCCATAAAGTTATTCTAAATCTTTGTGACTTATTGGAAACTCAGCCCATTATAACCTTGAAAACCTTCAGTTCGCCACCACAAATATTAGAATTCATTAACAGCAAATGCCCGAAAAAGTCACCAAGGTAAAAACTAACAAAACCAAAAATCCCTCAAGTTTTGTAGTGTTATATCCAGACACTCCAGATGAAAGCATACTGCTGAGTACTTTCTTCAGGCTTGAAGGTTATTTCTAGTTCAACAACCCACCCCCAACATCAGATCACTTCCCTCGCTTCTATTCTAATGCAGGCCATGGCCAGCTTCAAGGCCATCTCCTCCCCTCCACAGATTCCACCCCAGCCAATTCACTTCGTCGCTTACTCACCCCACAGCTTCCTCAAGCTGGAAAACAACCCCTGGCTGCAAGGACATTGCCTCTCAGCTTTGAAGCATGGCAAATAGCATCAACTGTCTTTTAGGCAGCCGTTCTGTAAGTCACTTGTTGCATAGGTTTGACTTAGTTTATTCCCACTAAATTAGTTTACAAGAAAAAAAATTTTCTTAATCACTAAAATATTGCAGCACACTCTTGAAATGCCAGCACATCAGTAGTGATTTTTCAAGACTTTGATCTATGGTGTTGTATAAATCCTTTATTTGTCAGGACTCCATGTACATACCTCAAAAGGTCAATCTACAGTACTTCAAGAAGTAATACACTGAACGAAACATTTATCAGATTATATGCCACAAGTCATTAAAATTAAGTATATTTACTGCATCTATTCCTTAATAAGACTGAAGAGTTTCCAAGCAGCCTTTAAAAATTCTTCATGACACCAACAGCTGCATATTCATGTTTTTAACCCTATTCCAAGCGAGTTTCAGAAAATCGTATTTTTTTGAATTGCAGTTCACCTTGTATCAAGTAGCAGCATCTTTTTATTTTCATCATGCTTCTGATTTTATTAAGGGATGTAGCAAAGCATCTTAAGAGCAGCAGAGATGATCAAACTATTTACACACCTCACGAAGACAAATTACTGTGATGCACTACTTCATATCTGATCAGCCCTAGGCACCAATTAGACAGCCAGCAACTGTTCTCCCACTAAGTGCTGTAAAAACTGGTGAGGGTAAGTGTCCTGGCTCTGTCGGACAGAGCTTTTAACGGGTGGCTAGTTGGATTTTTCAGATTCTGGTCATGACTGAAAACTCAGCAATCCACCATGCAGTACAAGTAATTAACATCATTCTTTTGTACCATGTGTATCTGGAAGAAACTTACACTTGGTGGCAAGGAAAAGACAAAAACATGAAAACATTGGCTATTTGGCTGTAGATAATGTGCACGTGAAAAGGAAAAACATAAATACGTCAAATCAGTGTGGGTGTGTCTCTGCTGATCAGTGTAGAAAGTCAGAAGTACACTGTGTTTGCGCTCCATGTTGCCCAGGCTTAATATGCTCCCATTTCAAAGTTCTGTGCCAGCACAAGACTCAGCTGATGCAAAAGCCCCCACAAAGCAGGGCATAATTAGTTCAGAATCATCAGCCCACAAACACAGTTACACAGTTTCCCAACTGGAGCTGAAACATGCCTGCACCCGTCCAGCACACACTTCGAGGAGCTTGAATTGTAGCGCATTCGACTGAAGAGGGACAGCAACAGCCTCTGAAAAATGCCCTCTGCACTTAACACAGAGCATTTATACAGCACCATAGATGAAAATCTGTGACTAAGACTTAATGAGGTCTCACTGCAGACTAGTCTGCAATCCTTATCACATTTATTTCATTTTTACAAAGATAAAACCAGCAAGAAGGACTCTTGGACTAATATTACGGAGGCAGAAAAAAAGACAGACACGGGAGAGTTCATTCTGTGTATAGCTGTTACATAGTCCAATTCAGAAATGGAGATACACGAGATGTAGTACATACACTCATAAATCACATGGTAATTACTGTAACTCTGGTAGCTTGAATAGACAGTCCTACTACTGACTCTCTAACAGTAGTCAATTCACTTTGCTTTTCTGCATCTCAATTCTCCAACTGTGATGTGAACCGTGTGATACCATTCCTCAATTATTTTTTAATTTTTCTTTAATCTTGAATACTTTAGCAATGGCAAATGAATTCAAGACCGTAGCGGAAAGCAATGGAAAACAAACAAACAAACAAAATTGTCTTAATTAGTTCAATGTAGCAAGCAGTAAAACAGATTAGAGCAAAGCATAGAACATACGGTCAGACAAGCAACAAGCCAAAACACAGAACTTGAAGAATGACAGAACTATCAGACTGCACTACACTGCCTGACTGCAACGTAAATTATAGGGGGGGTGGGGAGAAACACCAGTAAGCAGAGGCATGAAGGGATCCAAAATGAGGAATAAATATCCTAAACAATGAAGCCAGAACACATGCAAGGATGCTGCAAGAGGTGTAACACAGCAAATGGAAAAATCAACAGTATGTGCCAGAAGTCCTGCGACATGAATTGTAGTTTTGCATAAGAAACTCCACCACACCGCACCAGGACAATTGAGGGAGCAGTTGAAACAAGGTAACAGAGCGAGCAGAGGATCATTAACTATGACACAGTGAAACGACACAGTGCTCACATAGCAGGAACAAGCCAATTGCATTGTACCAAGCAGAAGAAAGTTAAAGGGACAGATAACCGCATTAAGGAGAATGGATGTAGGGAGAGCTCCTCACAAGTTAAACATGGCACATAGTTAGCTGCTTTATATATAGCAAAAAAAAAAAAAAATAGGGACTGTATTCTGGCAGAAGGAAAGAAAAAGACTGATAACATGCAGGCCAGAGAAAGTGTGGCAGTGATTGAGTCACTTTCCGTCCAAGTTTTCACTGACATACTAAATCACGAGAGTTCTGTTAGTGCTATGTAATATAGCTATGCACCATCAGAATAGCCTGATGACGTGTTGTGATAAAACAGACTTCTGCAGTGCTACAGCACATACTGTTCCAGTATCTCCATGTATTCTGAAAGTATGGAAGTATTACACACAACATGCAAGTTACACTGGTCAGTAGCACCTTCAACTAGAGCCTTTGGAGGAAAAAGTGCCTGCGACCAAAGGCAGAAGCAGCTTCGCAAAGTAAAACAAAACCCGAAATACTAAATTTCAGCCCTTATGACAAAATTAGAAAATCCCTCTCCTATTTGTGCCATACGTTTTTCTGAGGCTATTTTTCCTTTTATTATGAAAGGAATAGCTTCTTAACAACCCACTCCCCACCTAAAAAAAGTCCTGTAGAAGAAGAACCTGTGAAATTAATCCACATACAGAAGAATGCAAGCCATTTATATTATGGAAGTTTTTGATTATAAAATCTTACCTCATCACAATCTCCTTCAACCATAGCATAAATAGCTTTCTTAACCAAGTTTGTACCTGAAATATAGATTTCAGTAAGTGTCAGAGTTGCAATGCAAAAAATGCTAGTTTATATACGACTAACGTGTGCTACCTACATGACATGACACCTGGGGAAAGCAGGGAGGAAAGAAAGAAAGAAACAAGAAGTTGCAGTCAAGTTGCAGTCTCAAGTTTGAACATTAAAATAATCTGTAAAGTTATCCAGAGACTCAGCTTGAGCGCAGGATTCTTCTAACACACGGATATTAGAAACAGGCATCTATGTTTAACATAGTGTTATATATAGCCTTCCAAGATGTGATTCATTCCTTTTTGTTGCATTTAAAGTCAAAATCTGCTGGCACGTACTTGAAGGACATTCATCTTCCAAGGGAATTTCCTCTTACTAACGCAAATACTTCTAATACTAACAGAACTTATGAAACCACTTTTCTTGTAGCTCGCTCCCATTTGGATTTGCTAGCATTCAGTCATATGGTTGAAGCCCATCCCTTCCCCTCAGTCAAGCATTAATTTAATTCTTTATCATTATTTTTCATCTATTTCACAACAGTTCTACAAATGTAATATCCCTACCTGTCTGCAGAATTGAGATGAAATTGAAAGTTGATTTCAAAGTTATTAGTGGAAAAAACTGCTGTTCAATGAAATTGCATAAATCTCACTTCCATAAGAAGGCTAAGGAAAAGGAAAAAAACCCCCAAGGAATCTAGAGACTGTTTTAAAGTATTCTCAAAACTTTAATCAATTAAGGTTTTCACTGAACGTACAACAAAAACTGTACTACATTTAAAATAAATCTTCAGATTAACAACATACTTTGAGAAACAGAAAGGCGGCAAGTGTAGGAAAAAGTCAATACACATAATGCTAAAGTAAGCAAGGCTTTAAATATAAACTCTATTTATGTAATTTTCAAATAATGAACTGACTAAAGCGAGGGAAAAAATCTTGCAGAGATCTTCATAATAACAGCATTAGTTCTTATTTACTTATGAACCCAAGCACCTGCAATTAAATTACGGCAGGCTCCTTCATGACTCAGCTAAAAGGAGAGACAGTGCTTTCTCAGTATCCTCTTCCCTCTGCTCCACTACAGAAACCAACAACGGCTTCAGAACTGCACTGAAGGGGAAAAAAAAAAAAAAAAATCTGCACATGCTTGAATAGTCATGATAATGTGTAGTGCTTTTGGAAGGTTGGGTTTGGTTTTTTTTGAACAGAACAAACACAATGGCACCATTCTGCAACATATCACCATATTTTTCCATTGCAAGTAATTTTCTGTCTCTAATCAGAAAAGCATGAGCTGCTCAGCGTGAATGAGCGGTGAAGCACATTTCTAGCCTTTAAAGCTGATGTCTACGTTTCCAGTTAAAAATGTTACAAAATGTAAGTTCACAATAACTGACACAAAAAAAATTAAGTTCCATAAGAACCGATCTTTACTAAAGCCAACTAAGATACATGGTGTTAGAATGAAAATCCCTTCATGGGGCAAAAGTGATCAATGAGGGAGGGCAAACTCCCTGCCAAGAGTGATCTCTTTTATCATGCAACTTCCCAACAAAACAGGTCTCCATTTCAGTCATTCAAGTAGCAATACACAACTGTTTTTCTTCACTAATTAATACAACAATGAGCTACATACATTCTCCCCAATGGACAACATATTGACAGGGCAAAGCCAGGGGCTAAGTTCACTGCAAAAAGATAGACTGAACATAACAGAGAAATACCGTGAGGAGGGCACACAGAAAAACGCAGCGCAATTCCCCCTGCTGTTATTTGACAGTGCTAACAGGCAGAGGTAAGGGGCTGCTGACTGCCTTTCTTTTTAGCTTTATTGTATCCCAGATGGAAACCTCATAGGGCATTTCAGGTTATTTTAACAAAATTAAGAAAGCCACTGGGGAGCTTGTGCGGTGAAGTAAGGCAGGGATGACAGACAAACCACCACATGTAGAAGTTCAGTTCTGCTTAAATCTTTATGACAGCTACAGTTACCCCAACTACAGGATTTAAGTAAGAAATAACAAAAAAGGCTATTCTTACCAATTCCTTTTCTTCTGTATTTGGAATCCACTGCTAACATGGCTATATAACCTCTGCGGAACATCTTTTTGTGCATATCCAGCTTGCAGACGATGGCACCTACACACTCCTCACCTACCATGGCCTTAAAGACAAACACACATGCATTCTCAGTTTGTGATCTACAGTGCTACCAAAAGTAGTAAGCCAGTTCATTTTAAGCAAAACAGCCACACAAAATTTGTTTGCATAAAGCTATAAAAAAATAACTACATAAATTTTAAAAACATCTCAAAAAGTATAAATAAGATTAAAAGACTCCTGTTTCTTTATTACATTCAAATGAAGTTACAGTCAATTAACAACCAATGAATCGTCCTGGAGAGAACCACAGTATTATTCCATGAAGTCTGCAGGCAAGAACACGTGTGATAGACAGGGGCGGGCGGGAGAAAAAAAAAGAGACCAGGTTAAGGCATAAATCACCCTTTCACACAGGCTGCCGCAGAGGAAAAAAGTCCATTCCTGTTTTATAGTGATCGGAATTTTCACATACAAGGGCTGTGGTAGATAACATGCTTAATTTTTTTTCTGGTTTTAGCGTCAAGGCCACAACGGATCAGAGGAAAATGTTGCTGTGTTTAATCTTTTAAACTGTCATTTTCAGTCATACGATGCCCGAAGAACAAACAAAAAAGCACACAGTTAATTTCACACATTTTAACTATTCAGAGATTTCGTTTGTTAAGAGCTATGCACTGACAGTTAATCCCAACAGTACTGTCACAAAAAGCGTGGTCAAGGAGATGTAGTTATTCTGACATATTAAGAAAAAAACCAAACCAAAAAAAAAACCCACACAACCCCAACTCCTCCCCAGACACCAATCAAACCACTTGCACAACTACTGTGTTCACTAAAATTTTACCATGAAATATATTAGAGAACAAGTGTAAGAAAAGCTAAGTCATATGTTAACTGAAGGATTAGGCAGCAGGAGAGATTAATGACATTATAACCTGCAGCAGTAAAACTGAATAACGCTGCAGAGTAGGATAGCCTCCAAGGGGAGAAGAAATGACTATTCATTCAGGAAAGACTGACAGAGATAAAAAAGAAACCCTTATACTGTACACATGGGTGTGCAAGTGGATCCACAGTCTTCGCTAGACCTGTATCTGCAGGGGGGAACTAGCCTTCAGCTCAAGTGTAGCAACTAAACTGGGACTAGAGCACATGACTGGCACAAGCATGTGCTGGCACAAGCATGTGCTGGCACAAGCATGTGCTGGCACAAGCATGTCTGGATAATCCAAATGTACAACAGTAAGACACGTCACATGAAAAGGACTTGCCAAAGCCAGCATTGCCAGGCCTTAGTGCAGTCCACCTCTGAACCCAGTACTCACTTCTCCAAAGCCTACGGTACATACCACGCAGCCTCCTACCACCCTAACCTTTCTGTATACAGATTGTAGGCTAAGACTCCACACAAACACAAGATTCATTCATTCATAGATATCATACAATCATAGGTTGGAAAAGACCTCTAAGATAGAGTCCACCCATCCACCCAGCACCACCATGCCTGCTAAACCATATCCCAAAGTGCCACATCTACATGTTTTTTTAAACATCTCCAGGGATGGGGACTCCACCACCTCCCTGGGCAGCCTGGTCCAATGCCTGACCACTCTTTCAGTAAAGAAATTTTTCCCAATACCTGATCTGAATCTCCCCTGATGCAACTTGAGGCCACTGCCTCTCATCCTATCACTAGTTACCTGGGAGAAGAGACCAACACTCGCCTCACTCCAACCTCCTTTCAGGTAGTTGTAGAGAGCAATAAGGTCTCCCCTCAGCCTCCTCTTCTCCAGACTGAACAGCCCCAACTCCCTCAGCCACCCCTCGTAAGACTTGTTCTCCAGACCCCTCACCAGCCTCGTTGCCATTCTCCGGACGTGCTCACAGCACTCAAGGTACGGCCTCACCAGTGCCAAGGACAGGGGCATGATCCTGCTCCTACTGGTGATGCTATTCCTGATCCAAGCCAGGATGCTGTTGGCCTTCTTGGTCACCTGGGCATGCTGCTGGCTCCTGTTCAGCCGGCTGTCGACCAGCACCCCCAGGTCCTTTTCCGCTGGGCAGCTCTCCAGCCACTCCTCCCCAAGCCTGTAGCGTTGCTTGACATTGTTGTGACCCAAGTGTAGGACCCGGCATTTGGCCTTGCTGAACCTCATACAGTTGGCCTCAGCCCATCGATCCAGCCTGTCCAGATCCCTCTGCAGAGCCTTCCTACCCTCGAGCAGATCGACACTCCCGCCCAGCTCAGTATCATCTGCCAGCTTACTGAGGGAGCACTCAACCCGCTCATCCAGATCATTGACAAAGATGTTAAACATGACCAGACCCAAAACTGAGCCCTGGGGAACATCACTTGTGACTGGCTGCCAGTGGGATTTAACTCCATTCACTACCACTCTCTGGGCTCGACCATTCAGCCAGTTCTTTATCCAGCGGACACCCATCCATTCAGATCATACTGCAGGCCCAGACCCACAGTTCTTTCACCCCAAGAAGAGTAACATCTCCTAGCATCTCTACCTGGATGGGTTATTAATCAAGTTAGCTGCCAACCAGGAGCTGTATCAAAGGTGAAACTAAGCAGCCCAAAATGTATGAGCTGCAGTTCCAAAGCCCTGTGATGCAGCGCAATCCTAACACCATTTCTAATATAGTTTAAGCTCATCAGGCAAATATAATTATTGCTAAATTTTTACTTGGCAGGAAAACACATTTTTTAGCAGTATCTAAGAACAACCCTAGACAACCTAAAACAGAGGTTTTCAAAACAACAAACAAAAACTGTAGCATGATCTAACTGGACTGAAATACACAGCCTCTAAGTAGTCTTTCATTTGTTCTACAACACAGTTTATTCCACAGAAAAGAAAAGCTGTACTCATACTAAAACTGTGTAGGCAAAGTGTCCGCTCAAGGCAAGTTTTGTATCTCAGACCTTGAGAAAACCAGGGAGTTAAAGAGTATCATCAGACAGACTGTTCATAACACTGCTATAATTATGCAGAGTACCTAGATGTAATCTTATACCTCACTAAAAAAAAAAAGCACACCACAAACTAGCATGTTATAGTTACACTTTGCCCTGAAGTGAACAGTGAACACGTGCAAACTGTCGATTGTAACACTCATGTGGAGAATTTTAAGATTTTTTTTTTGTTACACACTTCAAGAGTAGTGACATTCTAGACATTGCCTACCTATGTTCTTTCTTGTTTAGGGCACTTCTCAGAAAAGCTATGTTCATGAATCATATATTCAAAATGCTAAATGAACAGCAAAGAATATTGTTTCAATGATCAAAGAAACAAATACCCACTGGTTTTACCACTGTTGCCAGAGAGCAGAATAAAATATGACTTTGTTACCAGTTCCCCAAACACTTAAATCTACTCCTCTGTCTTTAGGCAGGTAAGTCTGCCAGTTAACCTACAGCTGCTCCACTTTCAGAGGGAGTGCAGCACCTCAGTACAAGGTTTTTTTTTGCCTTTCCTCTCCTTTCTCCTTCTCTCCAACCTTATCTAAAGCTGGAAACGAACCTAAAATGTGGTGTAAAACTTTGTAATTTAATTCCCTGGAGAAGGTTAAACGGTGTAAATAAAACCCAGACTGGAATAGGGAGAGTGGGGAGGAGAGAGAAAAAGTTGTTCCCACACAACACCATTTATGAACAGACAGTCATGGGCCAAATTTTATTTTCAGGTATATGAGACCACTCCTAAACATACAAGTTTCTTCAAACAGAATTCAGCCCAAGTTACTATTACATAGTATAAACCCCACAGAGTACTACAAGATTTACTTCAATCTTAAATCGCAGGATTAACATACATGAATTCAAATCCAATATTTGCATCAACTTTGTTCTTACAAATACATTTAAATGCCAAAAACAAACTACATCTTAATATCTTCATTTTGCAACCATATATTGCTAGAAGAGTTAGCACAGAAATGGCTGTAAATCAGCAAGAACATTACTTTTCACAAAATTAAATAACTGGCATTAATTTCATTAGCCAAAGATTGCATTAAGTCTGTCAGCCACAGTCTGAGAATGCATTTCATACGCAGATCCTGTGACACTTGTTCTCCTTTAAAGAAGATTAAAACAACCCACTAGGCCCTGAAAGAGAAATAGGTTGCGATTCAAATGCAGCAGAACCTGCGCTACTGCAATACGGCTTCCCTTCCGCACACACGCCAAAATCCTTCCAAAGTATCACAGAAACAGCTCTGTATGGATCCTTTGGCTCACTCTTAGCGATTACGTTACTGAATGCCATTAGAGGGTACATTTAGGCTAATGGTTTTAACCCAAAGTCTGGCAGTTCAGCCAGAGCTCTTCACGATACTGGGCAAATCACTAAGTCGCTCTGTTTCCACTCTGTGAAACTGGAGACGAGTAACTCCCTCCCGTGCAAGGGCACTGCCGGAATAACTGCACTAGCTGTTGTGACGTACGCGGACGCTGCCGTGACTGAAGTTCTCACAAAGCCGCTGACAGGGAGAAGTAGCACAGCAAGCCTGTATCTGAAACCACGATCATACCCAAGAGGAAACTGGAATACAGAGTTTGTAAATTGGGAATGGATGTCATAGAATTTCTTCCTCTGTCTGCCATGAGGCTAGGAAGACTGCCCAGTTTCCTAACGTTTCTGGTTCTTCTTTTACGCCCCAAGTTTTCCGCAACTGAAAATCTGAGGCGATGTCTCACAAGTCTTAATTTCAACATGAAGTATGCTTAAATTCTTGAATAAAATCCAATTTAAAAAAAAAAAAAAGGGCAAAGCATTAGTATAAAACAAGATCTTAACTGCAGTCATTTAGGATTTAAAACACATCTAAAACCACTTACATGGAATTAATAGGTTATTTTTAAACTTGTGAAAGTTTAAATTATAAATGCTGCTATAGCTAGCGGCAAAGTTAAGAACCCAATAAAAGCACAGATTTTCCAGATTTTTCTTAAAAGGCAGCTGAGTGGTGCCGTATTGTGAATTACAGGAGAGGTTACAACACTCAGCCAGAACTCTGCTTTTATTACATCCTGTCTATCCAAACTTCGGCACAGATCAAGGTTTCCTAAGCTCACCTATCCCATGCTAAAGTATTTTGAAAACAATTTTCTGAAATATTTGATGTATGAGTTCTAAATGGAAGTTATAGAACTGTAACACTGCTAAGACTAGACGCTGCAAAAACACTTTAAAAGGAAGCTACAACTTTGAAGATGCATTTACAGCCCATATGGGGACAAAGCTGCAGCAATGCTTAAAAATGCTTCACGGGAAACCAAAGATACCTCTTTCCTCTGCCATTTTTTGAGTGATTATCATATGTCATTTGAAGAGAAACTGGGCTGACAGAGCTCTTGGCAATAGGTCAAAACCAGGCATTTACAGGGCATCCACACCTAGCACAGTGCCAACCTGCTCTTCCAAAGACAGGCGACACCTGAGTTTAAGCAGAAGCTGCAGGTAACGGAGGAGAAGGTTATTGCCTTGCAACAGCTCAGTCAGACAATGCTGCCGTGTAACACATCAGAACTGACCATCAAGTATTACCAACTTGTTACCCTAAAGTCCGGAAGACAGTTACATGAACAGGTTTTGAAGATTCCTAGCATCTCCATGTCCTTTTGAAGTGGAATATGAACTACTTTTTTGAGCGTACAGTTAGGAAGTGGTTTGATACACCAAGACATGCTCACGATTAGTTACGGTGGGTCCTATGCCTTCCCTCCAGCTGTGCATTCTCACCTCTTCTCTAGCACCAGCGCCAGTGCCTATGACATCCTACTACAGAGCCTTAAACCAACAGAAATCTGACCCTAAAACATATACATACATACACACACACGTGTATAAATATATAATGGTGGCAGGAGGACTATCGTAGCTTCCCAGATCAGAGAAACACAAGGAGGAAGAGGTAGTTGAACAGACAAGGTAAGTAAGCAGTCCTTTTGGTTGCACTAGCCATTAGAGCAACAGTGGACCTTGGGAAAGCCAAGCCAAACCTCAACAAGTTTCAAACCCAGGAGATCATCATCGACAGAAATAATGTTAGTTAAAGCCCCCATGAAACAGCTCTGCCTTGTCAGGTATCCAAAATGCCAGATAGCAAAATTATGGTGTTTAAGATGGTTTACTGAATAAATATCAGCAAGGGACAACTGCTGATCATTTACAGAAAATACACATCCCATCTTCAAATTTAAATGGTGTTAGTACTTTCCCCTCACATGCATGACAGAGCAATGAAGACAGATGAGTATGCACTGAAAGATTTTAAAAGTGGTGATTGTGAAATTCAGTAAAAGAATTGATTGAACCCCTACAGGTATTTTTTCAAATACAATCAAACTGCAGTCTAACCCGTCTCCCCAAGACCAATCAAAACCAAAACAAAACCTGAAACCAGAAGGGTGTGAGGCCAGAAGGCATTAGAGACAACTGATTCTCTGAGATTGGGCACTATGCCTCTGTTCACCATCCTGACGCTGTTCTTGCTAATTGGAATACGCAGTCCTTGACTGAAGATAAATATTTTAAAGAAACTTACTAGAAGTAGTTGAGGAATACATTAACTGCAGGAACAAATTAAATTTTATAGAACAGAAGGTCTTCAAGGCAACCACTAAAAAACTAACCTTAAAAACACCAAAACCAGTCATAAAAAACACACATCAAATTTGACTTAACGTACTGCAAGAGCTTCAAATTATTAAGCAGGGAACAATTTGCTAAGAGCTTTAGACATGCATAGCCACATACTTTTCTCAGAAGTTTTATTTACTTTACATTGTTCCATCCTTTAAAAAAATGGCAAATTGAGTACACAGAGTTCAAGTAAAGTTTTAGTGATTCTTCAAGGCTATCAAAAAAAGAAGCTGTCACTACAAAATCAGCTTAAGACACTTTCTTCCCCTTGAGTGATCTCTTATTCTTTGAATGCACTTGTTAAAAATAAGTATTAGAAGTCATCTGTTCTAGTGCTGTGTCAAACAACTTGCCATTGCTCTTTTCATAACAAAAATCTCAAGTTACTCCCTGACAAAAAAAAATTAAAGACTTGAAGTCTGAACAGATGCATTGTGATCTAACAGCATCCAAGAGTGCCCTGGCATTACCAGCGACACACTTGATGCTGGAAATAGACATTTGTAGTTCACAAGCATTTCTTTTCAGTATGAGGCAAATCAGTCACACACATAGCTCAGTGCTTGAAAAATACCATTCTGCTCTGATCAGCATCCTTACAATGGCAAACATGACTTTGCATCAAACAATGTTTTCAACTATTTTTGTATTTCTTTTTTGTTCCAGAAAGCAATGCTTTGCTCAACTTCCTCTAATCCTACTGTATTCCCTCTTCAGGGTTTTAAGAGGCACAGTTCTGAAAATCCTCCTATAAATCATATAAATCCCACTATAAATTACACCAGACCGTAAACCAAGCACATTCAGGAAGTTTAAGGCCAGATGGATTCCATTAGCCTCACCTCCTGTACTCGTATCCTATTAAAATTTTACAGCACTACTCCTGAATTGAAGGGTGTCTTGGCTCTGGCTAAATCATACCTTTCAGAGAGGTGTCCACCCTTGATTAAAACATCGAGAGAGAAGAATGCATCATTTACCCTAGCAAGGAATTGCCGTACACTCCCATAAATGTTCTGTTTTGCAGACATAAGTTTTCCTATGAGTAAACCAAACACAGCTAAGCTCCCACTATGCACATATACTCCTCAGGCCAACTTATACTCAGTTTCATATACCTGTGGACGGATTAGCATCCTAACAGCTTGCTTGTCAACTGAGAAACAAGTTCTTCCATAAGAAGTGCTAGACATTTAGAAAGACAAGGTGACAGCTAAATCCAGCACGACAATCTAAGCAGCAGGAGACTTTCTGAATGCTGCATACACTCTCACACCCGTAAGCAGCAATACAGCTGTACTCATCTTTTTCAAAGCAAGCTCACAGATCAAAAAGTCTGCAAACCTTTAACAGTGCCCCTCCACGTATCGCTTGACAGTTACATGCTAGCCATGCTGAAGTCTGTTTTAAAACCATTGTGCAAGAATTACTAAGCACTCACAAGACACTAGTGGACTAAGTACTTTCTTTTTTAAATACAAACCTAGGAACTGAGAGAGAATGATAAAATGAGCTACCAAAGGTCACAAAAGTCAATGTCAAAACCAAGATTAGAAGCCTTGAACTCCTGGATCCTAGCCCTGTGCTCAGACCCTTTCCCCACCACTTAAAACATCTATTAACGAATGTAGGAACTTCAGGCCTACGCTTTACTTATACATGCACATGTCAGAAGGGGACTTCATTAGGAATACAGGCACTTCCAAAAAAACTCAGCCTTATCCACAAAGAGGTTATTAGCAGCATTTCCACAAATGTCAACCCTTTAATCTTCTCCTCCCCAGCCCCAAACCACTCCCAAATCTTGCCCTCCCTGCCCCCCTTCGGCACTTACCAAAAAGCAAAGTTGTGGCCAGTTGTGGATAAAATACCTATATGTGTAAATGGAGTAGGGTTCAGACAGATCTTTGGTGATCAGTCTCATGATATCGGGCATCTGCAGCTCTGACTCATATCGGACGTATCGTATCGTTAGGTCCTCCTCGGGCTGACAGTCCGTTCCCGAGCCTTTCAAACTGCAAGCTGCTGCTAGGGACCTGGGGAGTAGCAGCAGGGACTCCTCCTCCTCCTCCTCCCCTCCTTCATCCCCCTCCTCCTGCTCTTCCTCCTCCAAGCCAGTCCCTCCTGCCAGTCCATTGCGGGCTGCAGTCTTAGCAGCAGTTGTAGCTGTGGCAGCAGGCTGGCTCCTGTCCCCTGCTGCTGCTGCTGGGGGAGAAGGAGGAGGAGAGGGTGCAGTCCTTCCCTTGGGGGGGAGGTGGTTGGTGAGGGGGGACGAGCACGGTGCTGTGGCTGGGGGCGACGACTGCTGCTGCTGTCCCGAGCCCATTGTTTTGCTGGCTCGCTTGTTCTCCAGCCCCTCGGGGGCTGCCCCTGCCTCCGAGCTGAGGATCTTGCTCTTGAGGGAGGCCCGCAGGGGCCGCAGCTCGGGGCTGATGG